GTCAGTTTTCCTGCCATTTTGCATCAATAATGATGATGATGATGTGATAGCACTAGGTAACATTTATTGTTTCCTATTTATTAGTCATTGTGCTAAGATTTTCTTTGCATTATATCACTTAATTCCCACAACAAATCTATCAGGTAGCTGGTATTATTATTAATCCCATCTTACAAACGAACACAAGACTTAGCAAGATTTAGCACTATGAGGGCGCCTGGGTGGCTCAGTTGGTTAAGTGACTGCCTTCGGCTCAGGTCATGATCCTGGAGTCCCGGGATCGAGTCCCACATCGGGCTCCCTGCTCAGCAGGGAGTCTGCTTCTCCCTCTGACCCTCTTCCCTCTCGTGCTCTCTATCTCTCATTCTCTCTCAAATAAATAAATAAAATCTTAAAAAAAAAAGATTTAGCACTATGAAAGAGTTCATATAGCTAATTAGTAACAAGAATCTGGTTATGAACTGAAATCTGCCTAACTTCATAACCCAAGATTTTGGCTCCTACCCTATACTGCCTCCCTCAAGTCTCTGCCTCAGTTGTACTTGGCCCCATCCAGAGATGTAGTCTCCTCTCGTGGTCCTGATCATGGCCACCATGAAGAGAGGCATTTAGAAGCACCCAGATGATCCCTGTTTTGAAGTCCTTTAGGTTGTAAGGGCAGGGCTCCTCTCCATAAATGACAAGAACAGAAATGACTGGCATAATTAATTTTAAGTCATCCATCTGGGTCTAAGCATAGCAAAATTAAATGTTACAAAATTTGCAATAGCAGCCTCTATTTCTGTTTCCAATACTGGCTAAGACATTAGAAGGAAAATTTGGATTTAATGAAACTCTTAAAGCAAATGTACATTCTCTCTGGTTCATAAACAAAAAATAGCTACATGCAACCCTTTAAAGGCTCTTGCCAGCTAGAATTGACTAAATTAATGATCTTAAAAAGCAATTTTGAAAAATTACATAATGAATTTAATTCTTCTTTCATTAAAATATTTATCTGTTTATTCACATGGACAAAACATGTATTCATCCCATGAAGCAAAATCCGGTAGACTATTCAAATCCTGGTTCCAATGCTTATTAGATAATAGATACAGATATTAGGAATGGCTTTTAGCCATGACAGGCCTCAATTTACTCATTTTAAAGGAATTAATGCCACCTACCTATCATGTGTTTTGAAGACTGAATGATGTTATATATAAAAGTACTTCGCACAGTATCTGACATATAATAAGTTCTCAACAAAGGTTAGCTTGTAATTAGGGTCTCTAAACAAGTGTATTAATTGGCAAAGTGCAATGGCATGTTATCACTTGTTAAAGGAGTTTCAAAAGAATTTCTGAAAGGATTGTGTTAATCTTGTCATTTCGGAGGCAGCAAGCCTTTCCATGGGCTCTTGTAGACCTCACAGATCTGTACGTATGAAGATTAGAAGTAAGATTCTGAGGTCCTGGACAGTCACCCACACATTATTATGAGAAACTGAAAATGATTCTCTATGTGCTGACACTAAGCCAAGCCCAGCATGTGCTCTTAGAGCAAATGATGGAGTCAAAATGTCTCATAAAGAAGAACAGTGTGCTCAGAGAAAGAGAAACACCTGATTGTATTCTTTATAATAAATATATAATTGTTTTTAATAATAAATAAGGATTTATTATAAGGAATAAGTTCACATGATTATGGAGGCTGAGAAATCCAAGATCTGCAGTCAGCAAGCTGGAGATCCAGGAGACCAATGTATATATATTTCTGGTCATGGTTCTGCTTCTCTGATTGAAGCCTAAGTGACACATGTTATTATCAACACTGAAGCCTAGACAATGAAAAACCTTCATGACAGTCTATTCTGTCTTTTTTCCAGAAAACCAATTAGACAGCCTGAGGCATACAAGACCATAAAAAACTGATTTATCTGCCAATAGGTAATAGTTTTAAATATGTCCAGACATGTCAAAAGACATAATGAGACTGAGGCGTCATTAAGATTATATGATGATAATATTTCATCAGAGAAACAAGAAATGTTCAAATCCTACTCTTAGCCTACACACCACCTTTTCAAAGCAAGACAAAGTAACATTTAATGGATTATGGACCTTCACAACTCGACTGAGATGATGCATAGATGGGTATATGTGTGGTGCATGGTAAGAGGCGTTGTAAAAGATAATTCAATCTCACCTTCCATAGTGTAAATTCAACAGACCACGGTCAATAATTTAAAATTAACAAGTGCCAACATAAGCACATTAATTAGAAATACAGAAGTAAATATCAAAAGGGATAGCTACAGTAATAGAAAGTGGTTGCCTCGAGAGAGAAAACATAGTGATGAGGGAAAGGGGTATGGTATAGTGTTTTGTTTTTTTTTTTACGATTTTATTTATTTATTTGACCGAGAGGAGAGTGAGAGCACAAGCAGGGGGCGTGGCAGGCAAAGGCAGAGGGAGAAGACGGCTCCCCACAGAACAGGGGGAGCCCAATGTGGGACTTGATCCCAGGACTGCGGGATCATGACCTGAGCCGAAGGTAGTCACTTAACCAACTGAGCCACCCAGGCGCCCAAGTGTTGTTTTTTTAATATGCCTTATACACATATGTACATGGTTCTTTAAAATATGTGTATGTATAAGTGATCAAAATTTTAAAATTAATGTAAAAATGTATACACAAAGATTCCCATCATAAGTTCCTCTAAAAATAAGAAAATCTAAATATTCATACTCACAAAATGAGTAACTAAATTACTATATGCTACATAATGGAATATACTACAAATGAAATAATTTTTAGAAGGAGTTTTAGTAGATAAATGCTCAGGTTAATATAGAGTAGCAGGCTTCAAAACTGTACAATCAGCATCATCTCAAATAGGAGAAAAATTAACTCAAGTAGGAAAAAAATTAACTGAATAATGAAAATATCTGGATGTATAAGTGGTGAGGTATAAATGAGTTTGTTCCCTGCTGCTTTTCAAATGTGTGTTCGTGTTTTCCAAAATTGTTACAGTGAACATAAAAGGGAGGAGGGGAAGAATAGGAAAAATCAGAAAAGAAAAGGGAAGAAGGAGGGGGAGGGGGTGGATGGGAGAGCAGGGCAGGGAGGGACGGTGCGCAGGTATGGAAGTTGCTGTGATGCCTTGAGCATGAGCAGGAGCCTGGCTGGTCCCAGCTGGAACCCTAGCTTCCACACCTCCTTGTCAAGTACACAGAATGGGGATGATGGATACCCTGTGCCTTCAGAGCTACTTTAAAGACTATCTCAGACCATTCTGAAGAAATTGAGTATTATTTTTTTAAGGGCGGACTGCCCTAATAATTGCATCATTATACATACTCCTTTGCATTCCCTTTTCTACCTTTTAAAGTACAATTTATGAACAAAATGTACCCTTATAAGTTAATGCTTAGATGAGTTTTGACAAGTGTATACACCTGAGTAAACACCACTACAATCAGGATATAGAGCATTTCCATCACCCAGAAAGTTCTTTTGTGTTCCTTTCAGGAAATACAACACTCCCCTAGGAAATCAGTGCAGTTAACATCTATCTCCCATTTTATGCTGCCTGTTAAATACCTTTGTATAAATGTAAATGCAAAGTACATATTCTTTCTTTGCCTGGGTTCTTTTGCTCAGCATAATATTTTGGGGATCCATGTTGTTGCATGTATTAATATATCACAACTGAATATATCACAATCTGTCCATCTGTTGGTGGCTATTTGGATCCTTTCCAGTTTGACCTATTATAAGAAAATAAAACACTGCTATGAAAAATGGTGTACCTGTCCTTTTGAGGACATATGTCTTCATTTCTTTCCAGCAAATACTTAGAAATGAGATTGCTATGCCATGAGGATAGATAGATGTTGAACTTTTTAAGAAATTGTGGAACTGTTTTCCAAAGAGGTTATACTCTTTTATACTCCCACCAGAAATGTAGAATTACAAGTTGTCTCTACATTTTTACAAACATTTGGTATTGTCAGTCTTCTTAATTTTAGCCATCATACTTAGGTGAAAAGGTATATCTTATGATACTGAATGTGCTTACTTTTTGGCCATTTATATATCTTCTGTGAAATATCCATTCAAGTTTTTTTTTGGTCTACTTTTACTGGGTTGTTTGTCTTTTTATTGAGAAATTGTGGGGATTTTTTATGCTCTAAATACGAACCATTTGTCAGAAATATGCATTGCAAATATTTGCTCCAAACAGTGGCTTGCCATTTTTTTAATGGTGTTTTGTAAGAAGCAGGGTTGTTTTTTTCATTCTTATGAGATTAAGCATATCATATTGTTTCTTTTTTAGTTATTGCTTTTTCAGTTCTAAGATATCTTTGTCTACCCCAAGGTTGCAAATATATTATTCTATGCTTTCCTTTAGGTACACTATTCATTTCAAATTAATTTTTGTATATGGTATGAAGAAAGGATTGAGTTTAATGATTTGTTTTGCTTTTCTATATGGCTCGCCAGTGGTTTCAGCAGGTTCATTGAAAATGTTTTACTTTCTCCATTGAATTACCTTTGTACTTGTATAAAAATAAATTTGCTTTTTATCAGGGTCCTACAGGCACAGCTTTCTCCCAGAACAGGGGTGGTCGAGAATTTCTATGTTCACCACTTGTAAGAACAAACAAGAAAGAAAAAAGCCAAAATCATTCTGAAATCCTACCGCTTTCCTGAGATGTTCCCTGATGACCATTAAGTACTTCATCTAAGAAAGGAAGCATTTCAAAGAAGAAGCTACATAATGTAGAGAAATCTAAATCTAAATCTCATACATGTCTCAGATCCTCTCTGGTGCAAATCTTGGTGTTTCTAAAAGTTTAGCAGAGGGAACAAACATTTACTGAGAGTTTATGTTTTGCCAGGTACTTGAGCAAGCACTTTAAGAATATTATCTCAATTAACACTCTTATTGATACTATGAAGTATGTATCTGAATTCCATTACATGGATAAGAAAACTAAGAGCTTGGCACTTACTTGGCCAGTTGGTAGTAGAAGCAGGATCCGACTCTGTGTTTGCTTACATCCAAATCCACAGTTCTTTTGGATATGTCATGTGGCTGGCCATTCACAGAAGAAATCTAAGAACATCCCCATTAGGAGACAAGAAAATAGATGGAGAATATTTGCAGTTATTCTTGACCAACAAGACCATCGATTGTCTTTCAAACTCCTTAAGTTGTTAGAGTTTTCTTCTCTTTTCTAAATTTACCACCTCAGTTTTGGTCCTTGAGCTAAGTTTCAAATAATATAATACCCTGAAGTCCACTAGATTGTGAGCAGATCCCATGAATATTCTCAGGGACAGGGCTGGTAGAGTCAATTACAAGAGCAAATATAGCTTTTATATATTTACAAAGGAATTTTTAAAAATAAATATATTTACCCTAGAGCAAATTTATTGGATGACAAATGGAGAATTTACTTGTAATTACTTCCTTCCCCGTTCATGTGCACATACACCTTAGACACCAATTATTACAAGATTCCCTTGACAGTATTTTATTTTCCCATATAGTAAATAATAATCGTCAGCTATAAATAATCATAAAAAGACAACGTGTGCCAGTTGTACATTGCATAACAGAGTTTCTGAGGTTTGTATGAATGTAAAAGAAATACAAAAGGCAGACGCTTGCCCTAACAATCACAGAAATTTAGGGTGTGCAAGTAAAGTTGTCTTCTGTTAATCTGACAAAATCAGTTACCATTCCTGTATCTTTCTTGCCACATCTTAGAGCGCTGCTAGATTTTATTTGGGGAGTGTTGTATGCAGCCAAACATGTATTTATTAAAGTGCATTTGTGTTTTCAAGTAGACTGAAGCATACAGCAATAAAGCTATTCATATTTGTTACCTCGCTCTCCATGATATTTGCTGGAAATGTGAGAAAACACACACTCTCCTTTTGAAATGATGGCACTGAAGAAAATGTAAGCTTGTGCTGCCATGAGCCTTCCTTTTTTTTAAGATTTTATCTATTTCCTTGACAGAGAGAGAGAGTGAGGCAGCACAAGTAGGAGGAACAGTACAGGGAGAGGGAGAAGCAGGCTCCCCTTTTTCCAATCATTCCCAGGAGAATTTTATAATCCCTAAGAATGAGGATCATCATGAATTGTTTTGACTTGAGAAATAGAGGGAAGCAAAGCACCACCCTAATTTCAAAGAACTCACTATGGTAGCAGGGATAAAGCTAGTGGTTAATAAGTACCTGCTTCTCCCAGGACAGGAAAACTCTTAAACAAGAAAAATTATTTTGGACAATCAAAGGCATTATTACAAAGAAACATTCCATTCTGGAGCTGAAGTCTAGAGGTGAAGTCAGAAGCTGTTTAATGTCCCAACATCAGGCCTAGGAATCTTTTCCAAAATTATTTTCAGGATAATAAAAGAATCTCAGTTTCAATTATAGGCTCAGAACACAGGGGTTATTTTTGGACATCCATCTCCTCTTTGTTTAGAAGAGATCCACCAGCATGGGTTTACACTTGATAAGTCACTTAAATATCAGTGAGACTAGCCTGTCAGACACCTTCAAACTCTGTGTGATTGGATACCCTTGGGAAATTTCCCTTTAGGGGGCCTGACAGCCCTGGAAGTACCAAATAATGATTTTTTTTCCTTTTTCCAAGAATAGATGTGTTGAATAACTGTAGTTATTTTTTTATGTAACATATGCTATAGTCTCTGAACTCTTTCTAAAATATAAGCTACATATCTACAATACTCAGAAAAATGTGTGATCTAAGAAATTCCTCCCTTAAGTTTTCCCTCTATTAAGAAGCCATGCTTGGGGCGCCTGGGTGGCTCAGTCAGATAAGCGGCTGCCTTCGGCTCAGGTCATGATCCTGGGGTCCTGGGATCAAGCCCCGTGTTGGGCTCCCTGCTTAGCAGAGAGCCTGCTTCTCCCTCTCCCTCTGCCTGCCTCTCTGCCTACTTGTGCTCTCTCTCTATCTCTCTGTCAAATAAATAAAACAAAACCTTAAAAAAAAAAAAAAAAAGAAGCCATGCTTGCCTGACTTGGGTGTTTCTATAAAAACTGGGGAAGTGTTTGCCCTATGGTATTGGAAGTCAGGTAGGGAGTATTGTGATTTAAGTGCATGTGATCCTTGATTTCTTTTCTGGGAGAGGAAATTTAAAAGGTTGGAAGAAAAGAGCATATTCCTGGAAAGTGTCTACTTTTTTGCAATTTTTGGAAAATAAATAAATGATCAAAACTTGGTCCAGAAAAGGGAGCCACTTCTTAAAACATCCTAGATGGAGAAGATATGGGTAAGATGGAGCATAAGACATTTTTGAGCACTTTCAATAACATAGATTCATGACATTTTGATGCTAGAAAATCCTTAGAGATCATTTATACTTCATTGGTTCCCAAACCTGGCAGACCATACGGATTACCCTAGACTTACTGAAACAGAATTTTCAGGGGCAGGATCCAGGAATACATATTAATTTTTAAATCCCCAAATGCATCTGGGATCATCTAGGGAGATGAGGAAATGGACGGATTAAACGATTTGTTGAAAGTTGCCTATCCTGTCAAGAGCAAAAGCAGTTCCAGAAACTGAGTCACAAATTCTCAGAATTATAAGTATCTTAGAGAGTCTAGCGTATCTATCTAAGAGTGGTCCGTAGAGTATAAAGATTTGTCTGAGGGCTCTCAGACTCCAGTCCCCAGCTGAAGGCATTCCCAAATGCTGACTGACTTGAAGCCTGGAAATACGTATTAGTAACAAGCCTCTTGGCTGATTCTGCAGGAGGTCAGCTCCAGGGCACAATTTAGGAAGTTCTGCCTGTCAGTTGTCTGAGTCCCTCTTATGATGTTTCTTCTCTTGTTTAAATGCATTCCAGTTAAGGGAAGCTTATTGTAAATCTATTAGGAACAGCCTTTATATTTTTTCCTAGAAATCTGCCCCTGAAACTCTCCCCGACAGGATTTAATTCTGCCTTCGTGGGCCATACAAAAGGTTGGCTCCCAACACTGTATGTTAGCCTTTTTAACATTCATACCTTTTCCAAGACTCCTCTTTCTGGGGGAGATTGGGGATTGAAAATTCTAGTCATCTCTCACTTTGTGTCTTCTCTCATGGCCAAAATCCCCTTCTTCCACTAAGCATATTTAAAATCATTTAAAATATTTAAAATAATTTAAAAAAAAGAAAAAAACAACAAAATATATATATATATATATATATATATAGTGGCTCACAGCCATAAATGTCATGCAAAGCCACTGGGTCTGGGTCTGGAAGCAGAAGGACCTGGCTGCACAGGAACACAGCCAAACCCGTTTTCCAACAATTAACTTTTCTCAGTCATAGTCATTCTCTGGGACAAAGTCAAAGGCAGAGTAACCTCCTTCCTCCCTGCAGCTTCCCCAGCCTCAAGGGTGAAAGGCAGCTCAAGTTGGGCACCGCTGGGAAAGCAAGTCTGAAAAGACAGACTCGCCAGGTGCCCTGTTGTTGCTGCCTTTTTTCTTCACGGAGCTTAACCGACAGGTCTGCCCAGCTCCCTGTCTCTGCTCAGCACACTCTTTGTTCTCTGCCTTTCCCAAACTCGCTTACTTCTCTGTTTGTTTGCTATTTGCTTAGAACACAGTGCTTTCTTCCATGAAAGGGGTGGAAGCAGACACACTTCTCAGGGACTCCAGAGAGGGAGGGAGATGGAGGACTTATTTAAAGTTGAAAATCATTCAAGGGCACGTGCAAAATGCCCTCAAGCGTGGAGGGGAAACTAGAAACTGTGCTTAAATTTTTAAGTGTTTGAAGTTATTTGAGGGCACGGACTCATGACAAAGGAACAGGGGAGTAAAGGGAAAGAGGAAGTTCTCAAGACTCAGAGTGAAAAAGACCCCAAAGACACCAGACTTGGCTGTACAGATGCTCAGACATTTCCTCAAAAGCCCTGCTCCTTCTGTCTGACACCTTCCCCCTTGCCTATCTTCTCCCGGGAGACACCAAGGGTGATGATGTGCAATCACAATACAGGTTCTGAAGCTGGGTGGGCAGGGACTTGTGCATCCCTGCTCTGTCAATCACTAGCCATCTACTTAACTAGTCTGCTCTTAAGTCTCATCTGCCGAAGCTGGAGATAATAAAGCCTATTTGTATTAGAGTGGGCTAGGTTCGGCTAGTCCTCTCAAAGGTTCCGGGGCCCTTTTTGCCACTCAAGCTGCATGTCCCACACCAGTCAGCGGGGGGCTCTATCACCCACCATCACTCCCCATTCCTGCAGCCAGGAAGCCTGGGCTCGGTCATTGCCACAGGGGAAGAGAGGTGAGGAGAGCCTGAAGGACTTCCCCGGGGGCATCACACAGCCGTGGCCTCAAAGTGAACTGTGTCCCTACCACTCAGGCGTCGTATTCACATGAACTGGCTTGGGACCTGGCACCTTCTCCAATCACAGTTTAAGTCACTGGGTTTGTGGTATTTTGTTACAGCAGCGATAGGAAACCAACACACTTCAGGATAAGTAATTAATTAGCTGCAGGCACTTAGCAGAGGTGGGAACAAATTTTCATGGAAATCAGTTGATAAGAATTACAGTGACAGGTAACTTGGAGTAAATATATGTGTAATAAGCCAAATTTCCTGTAAACTATAATAAGTACCCTAAAATATATACCAGTAATTTTGATGCAGACCATGTAAAGACAAGAATATGAGTGCTTTTTCTGGAAATGAAAGCAACTAATAAAAACAGAAGTGCACTGAATATCATTTACAGGTTTTACACATATGCTGGGGCATAAAATCTCATGGTTAAGAGCACAGGTGCTAAGGCCAGAATATTTAGCTGTCAGTCATTCATTCTGTTGACCTTGGGCATAAACACTCAAAGTTTGCATTTCCTTATCCATTAAAAAAAAAGGTAATAACATCTACCTTATGGGAGTGATAAAAATTAAATGGGTTAATTCAACATAAAACACAACACAGTACCTATATATAATGAGTTTAAAAATGTCATCTATTTATATTATATTTTCACTCTTACATTGATAGAATTCTCATTCCAAATGTTGGCACTTTAAGCAAATTATTGTGTTGTTTTCATTAAGACCCGATTAA